TTTTAATTTGTTTGAAAACTATTCTGTCCAATCATTACATTGACAACTGCGCTCCGATTCGACAGCCCAAATTCCAAACAATTGACGGGTGTCGTCAATTGTTTCTCTTCAATTCGACCTGTTTAACTTGAGCTTTGCTATAACGGACGAAAATTGAAATATTACATATTTATTATTTAATTACCGATGAATTATGATCCCGTTCGCTTTGCAATTAGATGTTTAGTTTTTTCTTCCAGACCACTGAATGGAACAGCCCTCCTACTTTAGAGACATTATCTCTATTATAATAAATACAGATTATTTTTAGAATATACGGAGACGTACAGTTGTTGGCGCTGTACATTTCAGCTTCCTAATTTGTGATTCTAGCGCAAACAAGAGTTATATGTGTATTTAAAAGTGATAAAAGGCCCATTCGCCTGATGAGTTGTTGGGTTAGATGTCCCTTATTCGTCTCCATTTCTGGTTATATACTCGATGCTTTGTAGAAACCTCTTTTTCCCACAGATGACGTTGCTATTAAAATTCATTTGTTTTCTTGTGTTACAAAGTATTTTTCATGACTGTGATACGTCTAGCGACATTTGATTTAGACATTCGTGCTATAATTTGCTATACTAAAACAGATAAGCTGGTTACTGCAAGGAGTGTTTTGAAATCTCATTACGTTCATTAATTTTATCTATAAAATTGATTTTACTTTACCTATTTCTGCCGCCACGCAGTAATGTCTGCATTACAGTGTTCCGGTTTTGAAATGTAAGGGGAAAAATTACAGACACATGGGACTTGTCAACTTATGTCTCAAGGTGACGGGTGCAGTGGCAGTGCCCCTCAGATTATTGCGATTTAAAGCTCTGAGTGGCACTGCAACTATTATGGACAGGCGTGTCGCGTAAGTAAGAGAATGGTTGCTTTTTAATAGAGAGTTCCGTTTGGTGGCTTGTGTCTATGATTTTAGAGTCACGTAAATAATTCTCAATCAATACGAAGAGTATTGCTTGAAGATTTAGTCATAATCAGCGTGGATAAAAAAACCACGGTGAAACATGCACATCGCACAAGGTTCTCAAAGTCTCCAACGCAAGAGACGAGGTTGATTACGATATCTTGGCATGTCCTATCGATTGACTATCCACCAGTATGACAATAATAAACTCTTCCATAACTTAACAATACCTACGTACACCTTTCTGTTAATTTTGTATCTATTTTAAGTACTACTTTGATAGCAGTGGAGCTTCTTGTGAAAGAGATCGTCGAGGGAAGTACTGCCACCTTACCTATTTCTGCCGCCAAGCAGTAGTGGTCACATTACGGCGTTCCATTTGCTTGTGACATTACAGGAACATAGGACTTGTAAAATTATTTCTCATGGTGACGGGCGCTCTGGCAGTGCCCCTCAGATGTTTGTGATTTAAAACTCTGAGTGGCACTGCAACTGTTACGGATTAGGCGTGTCGCTTACGACCAGGCGACGACGACGACATGGCTTGTTCACCCCGTGTCTTAGGTACGAGGTACTAAAGTCTATTTTTATTAGACCTCAACGGGGTATGTTTATACTTGGTGTATTTATCGTTGTGATACCTGTAGGTACTAACATCGCAATAAATAAATTAAGAACAACAACAACACAATTAATTACTTAAAATGACATTATTTTTCAACAAGCACCATGAGAACTAGATTTGTCACAAAATGACGTTGAATACAAAATCAAACTCATCGACCGCTTCAAGCTATAGGAAGAACAAATACCAGTCTAAAATTGTTTACACCGCACGATGTTACTGCGGCGGTTATATTTCGAACTGGGCGTCCTTGGTTCGATTCCTGGTAACGGCAATATGTCGACTATAGGTATTCAATAGGCGGAGAATAATATGCTGAGCACAGGTGCCTCGGTGTGACTCAGTTGTTGTTCTTATCATATTGTAAAGTAGTGTGCGTGTGAAGAACGAATTGATGAATTAATTACGCAGGACACGACGCAAAAAATAAGTACAATAAATTCTCTGTTATTGAAAATTATTTATAGTCATTGTATTCTGGTTGTTAAACAAAAAGTTCCGACATGATTATGCAATTTTATAATTATTGTTTTTTGTGTAATGAAGTTGTTTGTTAGAGCCCGATACTACGAGTTAGTACGGAGGCTGGCACATCGCTAAGAACAGCCAGAGGAAATGATGGCGATCAAGACTGAGAAAATCCTACTTTTTTAATTCTGTTGGTCGGAAGTTACTAGTGATCGCAAGTGGTAGTGATAAAAGACTGCACTCACGAAGCAGACAGTAATTGGAAAGATTTAAATATCTAGTTCTGGTAAGAATATATAAGATGTATATAAGCAATGATTTTTATCTATACGTGTAGTATAAGATCATTGTATAATAGCAATTGTAAATGAATAAAATATTGATAGAATTTTGTGCATGCCACGCGGAGTTTGTGGACCAATTTTGATGAATATTTTTTGTTGAATTGAGGGTACCTTAGTATTAAAATTTAAATTTGAAGAAAATATTCCCCTTTAAGGTTGAGGTTGATAGTTTCTCAGCTATCATCCGAAAGAGCATCGCTTCTCTAATCTATCGTGTGCGTGGCAGCCCCAACAGCCTCCTGCAGACGGTCGCGGCGAGATTGGACGTGGACAGTGCGATTATGCGACACTGGACCAGCGTCCATCTCGCCAAAGACGTTAGGTTAAGTTACAATAATAATATTTTTATAAGGCACTAACATAGGATTAAGCAAATTGTTACTAACACTTATATGGATGCAAGTCCGAAATAAATGATTTTTATTTTTTATTTTATTTTTATTTTATGGGTTTGGATTTTTTTTTATAATAACGCACACACTCAACATAGCCCCGCACTAGGGAAACCCTGTGTCGCGGGTCTCACGAGAGAAATAAATGTAGGCCATATAAATATTTCTCCCGGCCCGGGAATCGAACCTGGGACCTCTGCGTGGCAGTCCGGCATGGTAACCGTTCGGCCACGGAGGCAGTCTATAGGCGGATGGCAAACTAGGGCTTGATAGATGTAATTCCACAAGCTGTTGAGGTCGTTTTTTTAAAAAAAGAGTTGTAACTAGCGTTCCTCTCAATATGTTCATGAGTTTATTTGTAAAACAGAGCTGACTCCCAAATCCGTAAGCAATGACACACATAACAAGTTTGTCAGAAATCCATTTCTGCAATATTCCAGGTACCAACAACCTGATCATAATAAAGCTAGGTACTGTTTATTCGGCAACTGCACGATCGGCATACTAAGTGCCTACATACCTACGTGCTGTTGAGGCAGTACCTTGTGATCAGCATAAAGAATGGGTACTCCAGATTTAATACTAAGTCACTTAACTATCACAGAAGTCGAATTATGCCATCAATAAACACAAGACGTTAACATAATTGCGTTATATCTGGAAATTGTCGTGCGAGTTTTCATCATCAGCGTGATGTAGCCCACTGGTGTAAATAAGCCTAAATTCGTCATTTCGCCCTGTCCTTAGATTATCGCATTTAGATTTTGCATTAATTTAGACAGAAAACAAAGGCGTAAACTTAGAATAATAACGCATAGAAACCTAGTCCGCACACGCTAAGTGAGGCAAATTGAAGCACGCCCAAAGGGCCTGCACGAGCGGGCGGACCTTCATTGCTCAAGGTCAACTTGCACCGCGAACAGCTCCAGAATTTTAGCTAAAAATGACGAAATGTACGGTAAATGAGTGTAAAAATACGTCAGTCAAACATAAAATAGATACTAACATCACATTCCACAAGGAAGCAACGCGTTTCAACTTGTATTTTTATATAAATATTCACTAAAACCGAAAATTAACCTACTACCAAAACTAGCCTACATGAATTTGATTTTTGCCTCACTTGTGACAGTTCGTTTGATATGAAACTATCATTCTATGCGTATGTATTATTCTAAGGGCTTAATTTCAAAAAATCAGTGTCGAGTCGGGAGTACGGCGGGTGTAATTCCGTGTATTTATACGAACGACAACACACCACGCGCGGGCGCGGAGTTGTCCATTTAAATCAATCTTTTACTTGACTTCAAAAAAGAGGAGATTCTCAATTCGGCTGTTTTTTTAGAAAATATTCAAATGTTGAAAAGTGGCAAATTAGGAGATAAATCCGGTTTATTGAATTTCAATAAAAATATAATTTTATGGTAACCTAGAGCTGATCTGTTGATAGAAATGGCCAGACGGGTGGGAGGAACTCCTCAAGAGTGTACAGCAGCTATTTGTATTTGGACACATAGTTTGTTGTCAAGAGGAATTCTATATGCGTTTCAGTTATCGTCCACGGTAACTGACTATTGAGATTTTTTTTTTTAATAAAAAGGTTTAATATGCTTCCCTTTTCCTTTTTCAAAAATAAGCCCTTCAAATAAATCAAACACGATGATATCGTATAAATATCGGGACAAAATAATGACCATATTTTTTAGTCTCTGAATGTGCCCATAGCCACGAGACACTATTAAACATGTATACAAATAATTTTAACAAATAAATCTATTTTCAAAATTAATCAATAAGAAAAACAAACCAAGGCTTATATAACGAATGGTACCTACAGATACAGTGCTAAAAACAATAAAACTAGAAAGTGCGCAAGTTGTCATGCGGAGTTGTTGGCTGTCGAAAACACGCCGCGGCGTGGGCTACAGCCGTCACACGCTCCACCGAACGAAGGGGAAGACACCATTACAATAACCTTAATGCAACGGGATAAGATATAAATCTTAATACTGTTCTTAAGTAACAACCTCGTGCATTGCGAAGATTTTCAGTATAAATAGCGGTGTTGCCGGCTACCTGAAACACAATCATCGAGTGCACTTGCAAAGAGCTCTAGCTTCTGAAAATCTGTGCTCTACTCTAGAGACAAAATTTGAGTCAGTGACGTTCACGTTTTTGGCTAAGATGAATATTGTTTCCTTGTGTCTCCTGATCGCCACGCTGACGGCAGCGACGATGGCTGACGGCGGCCACTACCATGATGATTCTATCGTCGTGGTGGACGAGTACCCCGAAGAAGTTGTGCTCGAGTTGCGCCCAGGTGACCGTATTAGGCAGTGGCAGACCATCTTTGCCCGAGGCGAGATCGGCGGAGCGGATTACCGAGACCAGCAGAAGAAGCGCAACGTGGATGTCATCAACTCGCTCTTGGCTCTCCCCAAAGGCATGAACGCAGCCGGCCGCCGCTAAACGACCGGCACCAAGACCCGGAGAACAAAATGACAATTTTCTAGGCATATGGTTTTTTGTTCTCTCTTCTATATTATTCGGTACAAGTTTTAACATGTTTTGTTATAGGACCGCTGGCTTAGAATTTGTTCGTACCCGATTGCAAGTTTTGTGAAGAAGCTCTGTGCGAAAGTTAGGAACGATTTATGTTCTTCTTTATTTTTGTTCACACTTACGGGCCGAAATCTTGTAAATGCAGCATGGCGTGTATCTGAGTGGAGGGTGTGCAATAAGATCCTACTTCGTCTTCTTCCATCTGCATGAACTTATTATTATTGTTAAGTCTTCGTAGGAAATGCTGATTTTTATTAATTATTAATTTACTATAACTATAGTATAATTACCAGCGAATTACCCATTATAAGGTTAAGAAGCCATCCGAACCACCATTTTGCTTATTACAAGTTACAATTCGTTAGCTATTGGTGATTTTTTGAATGATAAAAAAAAGCATGATTTTCCAAGCAAGACAATGTTTTCTAAATACACCTATTGCAATTACTAATGCGCATGATTTTTGTGAACATTTAAACTATCGCCTCTTATATAACAGAATTTTCATTTTGTTTGTCATAATAATTATATAAATGTGTATATATTCTATAATACTCACCGATGTAACTAAATGTTTGTAAAATTTTACTAATGAAAATGTAAATCATACTAATGTACGTCGCAAATATTATAATAGCTGAGCAATAGCCAATTACCAACCCTGTCGCACAAAGTCCACTTACAATTACAAGACAATAACCAAAATTGCACGAGTTTCATTACCCCTTTGTTCTCTTCCTGTGCTATATTTTAATGTAGGCGGATGTAAAAAATTGTACCAAACGCAGCGTCAACTTAAGCAAAGAAATACATGTTGGAACGAATAGACAAGTGTTTACCTAAATGATACATAAACAGTGGACAATAACTGCCTCTGAAATCTTTGAACGATAAAAAAAATAAGAAACAAAACAATTATATATCGAGTTCTTAGGTTTTCGCGATTGTTACACATAGGAAATGAAATGTCCCATGGTCACGTCAATCGTGACCATGGGACCTGTAAAGGGCCCGAAACGTGGGTTTGTTTGAAAAAACAAATATACGCGATTTAAATCCAGAAAAATAGTTTCATTTCCTAAAACAATTATACTTTTACTTACAATTACAACAATATACCTAATGAACAGTTGCACTTAGAACTTGCTTAAAGAATAAAATACAAGACAAAATTTACCATATTTGAGAGCTTATACACACAGAGTGTATAATGTGAACATTACTGCGTTCCGGTTTAGAAGGGTAAGGGTGCTGGTGAAATTATTGGCACATGGGACTTGTACAACTTATATCAGGGTGTGTGCCGCTGATTACTGACAGATGCTCTGTTAGGGATGGGCGTGACGCTTACCACCAGCCACACGACTTGTTCGTCCTGTCACTTAGTATTATAAAAAAAACTACCTACTGCCACTGCACCCGTCACCCTGAGACAGACGTTGACAAGTCCTTGGGCCTGTAATTTCACCTTTACCCTTCAAAAACTAGAACACAGTAATGCTAACATTACTGCTTGGCGGCAGAAATGGGTAAGGTGACAGTAGGTACTTCCCTCGACGAACTCTTTCACGGGGAGCTCTGTTGCTTCTAAAAGTCTGTCAAGTATTGGGTGCATTTTGCACAGAGATAAATGGTTTCCTTTGCTCTGTAATTTTTCTAGTTTAGGTAAAAATAATAGTAACAATTTATTGTTCCAAAAAGCCTTATTACAATTCTTCTTCTTTGACTTCTTCTCCGATCGGAGGTTGGATAACATCTCGGCAATTATGACTTTAGAGGCTGCGGCCGGAGTACTACCACAAGGTAGTGTTGGTACAAACCAGCACTTAGTTTTCCAACGATTTTGCATTAGATAAGCTGGAGTAATTTGTACTTATTGTTCCTTACGATGTGGCCGAAGTAGGAAATCTTCCGGCTTTTAATAATGTCATAAGTTCCACCTTTTTAGGTCACGCCACACGCCATCATATTCTCAAGATATTACTATAAAAGTAAGAACACTTATGTAACTGCTATTATGTATCACATGTTGCTTGAGAAAAGGCTTTTTCTTGAGAAATTGCTCATAGAATACAACCGCTGATTATAATAATACAAAATTATCCAAGTTTACAGTTTATCGTGAGGATTTCAGCAGTACCTATGTAAGTACATTTATTCTAAAAATTTTAAGGGAAAAAGTCAAGATAAAATTATATAAATAAAATATGATTGTAACTTTTCATCGAAAAAAAAGGCGACCTGAAATGTTTGCCAATCCCCTTTTTTCGATTTCCATGGGATCACCAGATTCTGACTGTTTCTTGGTGACAATGGTACTGTTATGGACGCCTTTGTACATTTTATACTTTCTTTTCAGGTTGACATAGTGATGATGATTTGTTGATTACATGTATTGTGTCTATATTGAAAAATATAATATTATATCGATATAAAAACCTAATAAACGTGTGTAATTATTAGTATTCGATAATAAAATATAGAATTATAGATAACAGATTCGCGTTAGAATTTTCGCTATGTTGCCGCTCTGACCACGTAACGTAATAGTACGAGAAAGTGATGGGTAACCCTGCCATTTCACGCACACATTTGCGCGTGTGCAGATAGCGCCTTGCTGTATGTAGTAGTAGTAGGTAAATAATTTTCGACCGTTGTATGGAGTGTCCGGGGTGTACCTGCGTTGCAGAACAACGTTTAACAAGTTGTCAGTCAGCAGAAGCAGGAATGTATGTTCGTTTGGCGAGATATTAAACAATGATGTAATGGCATCGGTATCGCGGCGCGCATTTGAAGTGCCTGGAATTCAATGGAAGGAAACCGAATCATCCGAATCAGCGGTAGTAGTCTAGACGAAAAACTTTGCTCGTCAATCGAGAGATGTGCTTGTAATTTCTAAAGAACCCTCTCCATAGAGGAGAAGACTTGTGCCCAGTAGTCTGACGTGGTTCACAATGATGATGAGTACGACAATTTGTGGGGAGAGGTACAACATACGTGCTGAGATTGTTTACTACATCAGATTATCAAAAATACCAAACAACTCAAGTTCAATGACACGCCAAAAATATTTCCTATAAAAGGATAACGAACGAATAATTCTCAAGTGGGACCAAAACAAATGCAACCATCTCTGTCTCACAGCCTTACTAACTAATTGTTATCTCTTTTCGGCTGTGAAGCCGACATTAACAGGTACTAGTAAAAATATCCACAATCCTGTAATCCCTTTTATAGGAAACAGAAGACGCGTTTCGTAGGTCAGGGATTAAAATCTATTTGAAGCGGGCACCGTTTGTAATTCCGATCATTCACTCTAAGACTAACTGGTTGGTGCTCGTTTAATAATAATAAATGTTTATTTGCTTTTATACAACTTTTTGCATTACTTGCGTTGCGGTTTTTGCTGGTGAAATTACAGGCACATGGGACTGGCAACTTATGTGTCAGGGTAAGGGGGCAGTGGCAGTGCTCCTAAGATCTTTACTATTTAAAGCGCTGCAACTGTTGTGGACAAGCGTGTCGCTTACCCCACCAGGCGTACGGCTTGTTGGTCCCCTCACTTGGTGTGATAAAAAAAACTGTAGGTTTACAAGATAATGAATTCTGAGGAGGTTAGCTGCGCGCGCACGTGACATTTTTCAAACAATTTGATCAGTAAAAAAGGCCGATCTATCGTTATTTTTATTTGTTCCGAGGTCCTTATCCACCTCGGAGCCATGAAGGTACCGCAAGAGAAAAGTAGATGTTTTTCATTTCATTTTTCTAAACTTTATTTTCTCGGTTTCGAGTTTTTGTCACAAGCGCCCTTTAACCAACGGCGGCAGAATTATAAGGCTAAAATAAATAGATTAGGCCAAGGTAAAATCATCATCATCATCATCATCGTCAACCCATTTATACGTCCCAGTGTTGGCTCCTCTCAGGCGAGGGTTTTTAGACCGCGATCAGACACGATGGCGAATATTTTCCTTAATTCCGTAAAGCTCATGATACATTTCAAATTCAATGCTTGAGAGACGCCAGGTCACGCCATTAAGCTACCACGCGGACGGATAACATTATTATTCCCCCAAAAACCAATACACGTAAGTAAAAACAAACTAAGTTTAAAAAAAAGTGAGCAAAATGTATCAAATCTTGTTCGTCTTCAACAACATCGCACCCCGTAATCTTAGTTGCACCATAATATTGTAATTAAGCTCTTTCGACCAGAATAGAAAGGTGTACCTTAGGTCGCTCAAATCTCGGCAATTGATATATGCAAGGATCACAGTAAACAGCTAATGTGACCGTAAATAGTGCAGTCGGAAAATTTCCCCGAGGCAAGTTTTCTCCCGACAAAAACCGCTGATATTTACCCGAATGATTGACAGATGCGGCGTTCATGCTCACAAATCAGTGAAAAGCAAACCGAACCAGTTCCCGGGTATAGAGCCTGCCATCGCTAATAGAAACCTAATCAGTGTCTGTAGACGTCGGACTTGTTCGATGTAACGTATAGTTTTTATTTAACGTAATTTGTTTCCTTATTTCTGTCAATTCTACATGTCGTCCTTGACGCTTGGCGCACTCCGGTTATTTCCTTTAAAATGATAAAACACAACTGTAGTACCCATGTAAATAGTGCTGTGGACGAGTTCTTAGGGTTTCGCGATTGGATGTGAAACTACTTTTCCGGATCCAACCCAGCAGTGAAATTGAACTTGATCAAGGCCACGAATACTTGTTTCTTTTTTAAGAATACTATATATTATTTCATTTTCAGTGCTATGGTCATTAATAAAAGTAAAATAAGACGGGTCACGACAATTTCCAAAAAACTGTTGCAGCCATTGAAGATCATTTGCCTACAGACCATTATTTTGTACTTAAATTAACCTTTGCCAAAGTACCAAAATGTGTCTGAGAGGTCATACATATATACATACGCATTTTAATTGAAGGCGCCATTCGTGTGCAGGGCCATAGGGCTTGTTGTTAGCCAGCCTCAAATGTTTGTCAGTGTCAGCCCACCAGTTGTATGTAAACGCATGAGTATGCTGCTCGTGCTAGAAGAACGCTTGGCTCTGAGTCACGCTGCCCACCCACAAGGACTTTAAAAATAATAAAGCCTTAATTGGGTTTACTTGGAAATTTCGTCAGATTAACTCATGGGACGTGACTGACCATAAATAAATAGAAACTTTTGTGTCTCAAATTATAAATAGAATATAACTTGATGATTTGAACTAAGATAGCGTAGTGGGAAAACAGCTACGTCTCAATTGACAGGGCGAACGTTCGAATTCCTGAGGCAAGTGTAATACCTAAATACTTTTAGTACTAAATACTTCTGTCTGCCGAAGTTGATATTTATCGTACACTTATTTTTGTATTGTAAAATAATTAACAATCTGTATGAGTGATGTTTGAAATGAACACGACGACTCTACAGGACAAGGTCAAGCTGGTTACGATTGTCGCACTGTGTCAGAAGGAGAAGTAAGAAGAAATTAAAATGAAAACCATTTTCAGGTCATTCACTTACACTATTTAAGTGTATCTATGTGTAGGTGTACTGTTTTAATCCATACATCCGGCTCTACTGAATCGGATATGTCGCGTTAGTCACTTATATCGCCGACCATACCATACTGAACTATCTGAATTCTCAAAACGCAATTTTCCTCAAACAATTGAAGAACGCTGACGTCACTACACTACTCATTACTCGATTAGGTCAAGGGTATTATGAACTGCCTACGTATACAATGCTCTACATACTCGTGAGCTTCGCTTGGACTAAAGAAATAAATAAGTAGAAGTCATTTTTACAAATTTGGATTATTTTTTCGTGTAAGAGAAACAGAAGTAACTGTTTGCAAAAGATGCATAAGTAATAAGCAAATAAAACAATGCAATGAGTGATAAATTTGCCTGACGGAATAAAAACCGATATATGATGTCAAGTAAATCGTCGCGAGCAGTTTCTACAAATAGCAAATACGTAGAGAGGGGAGCGTGCACTGCGCAGACGCACGCATAAGGTCGTCGCGATAGCATTGACCCGTTTCGCCTTATAAAGCCTCCGTTGCGAAAAGCCACCTTAACATTCCCGGGCCCATCTGTTAGGCCGCGACGAAGGCTACAGCCTACTTGCCCCAACCATGTACCCGGCAGATGATGCCGGTGTTGAAGGTCTCGACGACCGAACTCGGAAGTTAGTTCCGACGCCTCAAACATGTGTAAAAAAGTACTGCTGAGACCAGACTGCAACATATGATAAAGTGTTCTTTAAAAATATTCTAAAGATCAAAAAGGAGTCTCAAGTAAACCATATTAAATTAACCCTGACCAAGTAAATAAAACAAATTTCTACTTGATCTAAGGTGGCGAAGTGTGACAAAGTAATCAAACTGCTAAACCATCATTTACGTATAGCAACAGCTGAACAGATTTATAATATTTGGTGGATAGTTTACGGCATGGACTATCACGTATGTCGCTTGCAACTTGCAACAGCTGGTAGGTAGTTATCACGTGGCCATTACATACGTTAGAGCAAATAATTATGTGAATAAAGTAACTGAAAGTACAATGTGCTCCATCTAAATTAACGTTGTACACTTTTATGAGTTCAGATAGCCAAAAATCATTGAGATGCATTGTCGGTTCCGGCAGCGCTATCGAGAGCAAGGCCAGCCACATTGCAACCTGCGTCATTTATACTGAGGCCTTTACTTGATTTCTCTATACTGATAAAAGCCTTAACTTTCTTAGTCAGAGGAATCCTCCTAATCAACATGATCGTTGTCAACCCGTTATACGTCCCTAAGACGACAGAAATGTTGACAGAAATATGACAGACTGAGGAATTGCATAAAATAACAAATATACAAATACGGTAAACCGATCGGGGACTGGAAGTACTGTTGAGTCTTGTTGGCCGCACATATCATAAAAGAACAGCGTACAAAATTCAGTTTGCTCAACTTACAGTCATGGTATCCATGGGATGGACAACAATATTCGTATTTTTATGATACGAACAAGTAGTGTGCGTAGTGGTAACCGACACACCCATTCATAGAAGTTGCAGTGCTGTTCAGAGATTCAAACCGTAAAGATCTAATTGGCACTGCTACTGCGCCCGTTACCCTGATAAATAATTTAACAAGTCCCGCGTGCCTGTAATTTCACCAGCACTCTTTCTTTCCATCCTCGCATCTCAGTAAGGTGGCAGTTCTTCCTTGGACTTTTTCACAACTCTACTCAAAAAAATCCGCTTGTGTGTGTGATTTCAATCTAAGAAATTGGATTGAAATTAAACAAGTATTCTAACAAGATATTATCAGTGCGGACCAACCGACCGAGAGTGAAAACTAATAAATCAATTAGCCGCCGTCATCGGAGAATTTGTCCACACATTAAATTGCATGCAAAATTGTTTTTGCCACATATCTGAAGAACAAGAAACGAGCGACTCGCGGTTGTTTCATTAGTTTATTAACTTCAAAACTTACCTGTCTGTATGTGATCCCTGTAATGAGGTCCCTTAATGTACAGTTAGGTGACAGAAGGAAGAATACTGTAATTGATCCACATATGAAAGGGGAATGGCGAAAGATGTATATAGAGCCAACGTGGAAGATTACTTTTGAAAACTGCAGGAAAGACGTTTACAAATTAAATCGGAAACGTTATTAAACGGTAGTGTGTAGTAAGGACGACGACAAGGCTTCTATGTAAAGAGTAATTAAAAATTAATTAACTTAAGAATGTAAGTGAATGGCGTTTCTTGCGAACCTCTGATATCAGAGGTGCGCCAGGAACGCGCAAAGTGACGATCGATTGTCCCTGTTCACTTGTGACTGTAATATGTGTCATGCATGTATGTCTGACTTTTTTCCATATATACATTGACTTACAAATAAATGGACGACGGGTCTAATACAAAAACCACGAAAAAAATGTCCCAAGTCAACCTATTTAAACGTAGTGACATGTAAAGGAATATGAAAAAGCTAAAACGTGAATTTAAATTGTAATGTCATCGCAGTACTGTCTAATTTTGCTTGCTTCTTCTTTGCTAAGATATTTTAGTAGCAGTTCCTCCAGGGGAGAATTGCTGCCTTACCTATTTCTGCCGCCAAGCAGTAATGTGAGCATTACTGCGTTCCGGTTTTGAATGGTAAGGATACTGGTAAAATTACAGGCACATAGGACTTTGGAACTTGTGTCTCAGGGTGATGGGCGCAGAGGTAGTGCACCTCAGATCTTTGCGATTTAAAGCTCTGAGTGGCACTGGAACTGTTATGGACAGGCGTGTCGTTTACCATCAGGCGCGCAACTTGTTCGTCCCGTCATTCGGCAATATAAAAAAATATCGACATTGTCGATTAGGGTCGTGTACATCGACAAATTGTTCCCCTAAAGGCAGTTCCGGTCTCGTTACTATTTGTGTCATTAAAACTGAACGTATCTGGTGCGCTGGATTGAGCTAATCAGAGAAAATATCTTGCATCTTTTTAAATTTCTTGCTCGCCCCTTTGCTCTACTATTTAGAGAATCACCACACTTATTGACGCGATATCGACTTAACCCGGTCAGAAAATGCCTTATGTCAAACATGTTTCGCTCCCGCACGAATCGCAGACGAGAAATGCACGACTTCATTTTCGCTATTATTACATGGACATACAAATGCGATTCCATGTCGATAAGTGTAGCGATTCCCTTGAGAGCGTCGTGGCCCGCTGCCTGCTTATGTCTAGACTGTCGCGCATCGTCAAGGCGCTAAGTGACAGCAATTGTGCAATTTCCATCAGTCACTGTTGGTAATTGATTGGAAACAGCTTGACAGATCGCAAATTAATGTATATACAGCGACTGTAGGTGTCGAGATCCCAGTTATTGATATGATAGTTGTTACATACGCCGTGACAGGTTCTTATTACGAGATACCTACGGGTACCTGCTGTGACGCCTTAGTGCAATTCTCAAAGGCTTACAGACTGTAAGGTGGTTCAAACTAAGCAATACAGCAGAAGTAGCTTCTGGAGATCAATTCCCTCGGCAAGTCTACCACGCTATAAAATATACGCGTGGGCGATAATATTGACAAATTGCGCTTTATTGTCCAGCGATGCGTTTAAACGCTAATTAATCCGCCTTTCGGCACAAAGAGGCCGCACAACATGCTTTGAACTTTGAACAAAAAGTTGTAATCATAACGATGAAAACTTTAGTGCTGTCAGGAGTTCGAATATTATAAATATATTGGACGATTAAAATTATAAAAAGAAGGCTCACCAAATGTTCAGCAATCAGTAATGAGCGTAAGTGTAGAGCTGAGGTAACATGGCCACTCACGCACTGTTAGTTTGTTATATTCACATTTTTAGAGTCGCTTCGTCCTGTCGACACTGAGTATCAGTTACATCAACCTGAAACAAAATATATACAATTACACATCGTTATTACACAAAGATACCATTGGGATTAGGTTAGTTGTATCTTCCAAGTCCAATCAGATCTCCACGAGACATATCTTGTGAAAACCTAAAAACAATAACAAAATATACATACTTAATAAAAGTATAACTCTTTTTTCAAGTAGGTTAATAAAAATATAACGCTAACAAATAGTTGCCAAAGTCAAAAAGCTAAGGAGGTAGGCGCTGGCGCTCAAGGTTGCGCGTGGGAAGCGCCGGCGCACTTTGTCGCTGAGGTTTGCTCTGCGACCAACGACGCCACACGATATTTAGCTTGCGAGTCAGGCTGGACAATTTGCGACTTAGTTATTGCTGCTTGGAAGTACAGTGATAATGATATAGGAAAAATATATAGGACAGATAAGAAATTGTTCGTCAAAACCGTTAAAAACAACACGTAGGTAAATAGGATATAGAACTGCCAAGACTAAAAATCTTTCACATCCGAGACGAAACTACATATTTAGTAGCAGTAGAATTTCTTGTGAAAGAGTCCGTCCAGGGAAGTACTGCCACTGCCTTTTGGTATCATAAAAGAAGAGTCTTGTATAATTGAACAAAATTAGATTGAAGTGTCGCTTTTGTTACTTCAAAAGCAATATAGAATTACTTTTTTTTATAATGTGAACTAACGAAATTAACGCTAGGGTGAAACTTGGAATTGGATTTTCATAGTTCACTTCACTTTTTATTTTTATGGCTCCTTAAGTTCATTTCACATAGCATGGGTACGATGACGTTTAAGGTTTGAAGTTTCTAGAGATGTAGTGATGTAAAAACGAATGAAAAAAAAACCAATTTAAATATCTTATCGAGATAATTTGTAACGAGGAGAGAATCGATTTAGAGACAATAATTTAAGAACAAATAATAAACGAAATGAAAAGAATTCGATTGTTATATTATTAAGTTACTAAAAACTACACAACAAATAAAAAATCAACAACAACGTTTGGTTGTTACCAAACGAAATTCGTATTGATTCGAGATACACAATAACCGATTCGATTTATCGATTCTGTGGTGTAAATCTGTATGGACAAATATTCCGTTTTACGCGTCAAGTAATTGGTGAAACTTATTGTTATCCTTATTTTAGATACACTTAATATAATCTAATTTTTTACTTAAAATTACAACTGCAATAAATATTCTTTTTTTTGGTGCATTGTAACAAATTTCAATTTCTTTTTGTAACCTAGTTAAGAGATTATTTAAAAATGGTACTTATGCTTGCTACGTCAAAATTGGAAATGTCACAGTAACCATCCCATCGTCGGGAATAATGCTAATCCGTATATGTAGTATTGGCAAAAAACACCAAACCAAATTTCACAGGAGAGGGACTTCTTTCTTTCTTTCTTCTTTGCTTTCATTCTTGCACAGTAAGCATTAATTTATATGTTGTCTACGGACTGATAACAATAGATTCCCGTAAATCGCGCTAATTTGGTTGCCACGACATTTACGTGGAATTGATTTGGCTCCTAAATTATCGAAATAGAGACTCATAATCAAATGCTAGTTACGCGTAATTTCACGATCCCCGACGCTATGTGAAATGGACCATAGCGCCCAGAGCGCCAACCGCCGCCGCTGGGCCAACCAAATCATCAAAAATTTAAAATGCGACATTAAAAAATTCCCACTGCAACACCAATTCATCAATTAGATCCACCGGTTAATTTGTCCAGCTATAAATAACGTCTGATGACCCTGCTTAGTATGCTAACGAAGGGAATCCACTCGGTTTCACTTTACAACAGAGAAATAACTTTCTTTGTGCCGGAGTTGAAGCGAGGGTCAGATTATGGTGGACTTATTTCATGTCTTAGTAATAACCAAAGCACAAGACGAGTTCTTAAGTTTTCGCTCTTGTTACACATAGAAAATAAAACTATTTTTTCGGATCTAAATTGCGTACGTTTGTTTTTTCAAACAAACCAACGTTTCGGGTCCTTTGTAGGTCCCATGGCCACAGGTGACTGAGACCATTATCATGTCACAAAGCTTTTGCACCTGAAAACTTTCTAAACTAAGGTCAGCTGAAGACATTGTTACTTATTAATAAGGGTGCCTGTTGTACATTAACGTAGCCATTATTGTTCATACATTATATTGTTCCTTATAATTATCATTGTTTAATTTATGGACTAACAAAGAATTATGATTCAATTTCTATAAATACTCCCAACTCAACACAGTCCTTGTTGTTGTGTCCCTTGCGTCCTAATTAATACGGGTACGAGGGAAACCACGGAAGAATATGTGGTCGGTGAGGGAAACCTATATGGGATCGCGCAGTCATAGTGGCAACGTACTATTCAAAGTCAATATCGACGAACAAGTCTTGCGCCTGGTTGGAAGCGACACGTCTATCCATAACATTTGCAGTGCCACTCAGAACTTTAAATGCAAAGATCTTAGGGGCATTGCCGCTGCGTACGTCACCATGAGACATAAGTTGACAAGTCCTATGTGCCTGTAATCTCACCAGCACCCGTACCCTTCAAAACCGGAACACAGTAATGCTGACATTACTGCTTTACGGCAAAAACAGGTAAGGTTAGGCACTTCCCTGGACGAACTCTTTCACATGGAGCTCTACTAACAATCGGCAAGTACCTTACATCGATTGGCAAAGCCTTTTATAAGGATGGCAAGCATTATAGTGTATACCATCGATACTGTAAGGAGAACAAAATCGCACGCCTTTCCGTGTCGCAACCAAACGAAAATGTTTAATATAAATAATTATCAATTGTTATCTGGTATATTTATGTAACCATATATACATATGTACTTTATGTTAATAAATATGATACAGGATATCTGTTGATTTTTTAAATGGCGGTGTACGCATGAAATAGAATTTATAGACGATCGAATATCGAATCTATCTATTCTTATTCTAATCTTCTAATCTATCGAATCTATAGTGATGGCGTTCGATGGGGAGGGACATATTTAGCAGAAGATTTTTTCGGATAACTAAAATCGAGACCCGTAACTATTTAGAAAAAGGTTTCCGTAGGCGTTTAGGCGGACAAAACATAAAGATCAAATTCTTTGTTAAGTCAAAATTATAGACAAAAATAATTTGCGAAACTTACATTTTTATAGCGCGCACATGAAAAACAAAGGGAGCTTAATGTAATTTCAGATAGAGAGGACCGGATTTTGTTACTACCGTTGTTAAATCTCCACAAGTAGGTAATCATAATAAAAAAAAAACTGTTGGTTTAGTAGATTTTTAATACTGTTTAATTGACTAAGTCACAAAATCGCAAAATTTTCGATGTTGAGACTCCCGGAATGACAGCCCTAGTGTAAAAAGATTCTACTCACAAATTTCTGAGTTAAACAACTTACGCGTACCTACATGGATAAAGGCACGTATCCCTTTACGCTATTTATTTATTCTTAAACGACATTTCAGATACAAATTCCACCCTTCACCACGTTTCAACTAAAAACAAAATAATATAAACCCTATTAAGTAGCTCTTGTCTACCGATTTTAATGAATGAATATATCGAAAAGCAATACAATAATTTACTTCTTCATTTAGTGTTACTCCACTCTATTTACTCGGCAGCGAAACAGAATTTCTCATAACGAAATGTGAAGTGCATAGTTAGTAGCTTAATGAACGTTGTGTCATTGTGTAACATACATATCTTACATACGTTTTTTGGTTCGTATCTGCTATGTACGTTACAAAATACATCATGCTATGATTACAAAAATTCGGTTACATTTCGTTCTGCGGCAATATAAATTGGGTCTTACATTGTGTCAAAGTATAGAGGAGAGAAAGTAATTGTAAATAAATATAGAATTTCTTTATGAAAAATGGTGACAGACTTATGTCTAAAAGTTACAATTATTATTCCTCGTGCTAATGTTATAATTAACACAAGGTATAATAATTAAAACTTTTTATTTATTCTGAAAGTGCGTGGTATTCATTGACTTACAAATAAATAGATGACGGGTCTAATACAAAAACCACGAAAAAAATGTCCCAAGTCAACCTATTCGAAATTTAAATTGTAATGTCATCGCAGTATCGCGCTGTCAGTCGAACAAATGAAGACTAAAGCGGAGTGTCGCGCTCTGTATACGATTTTAGCGCCTTACAAGTGCGGACACTTTTTAGCGCGGACCCGACGTCCATATAATTGTAAGTCAATGGTGGTATTACATCCATTTGATACAGGTGGAATATTTTCTTCAAACTTAAATGTAAAAGTAACATCAAAATCAGTTCACAAGTAATAGCGTAACACAAAGATAAAAAAAATACAATCGAATTGAGAAGCTCCGCCTTTTTTTGAAGTCGATTAAAAACAAACCAACTGCTCTTGACAGTCGTCTTCATACAGTTTCAAATTCATTCAAGGGATAATTATGTATACGCTCTATAAGTAACAAGCTGTATATAAGAGGTTGTTATACAGCTTCTGTGTACTTGGATGACATAAATACGTGGTAGTGACACGTCTAGCTCTTGCAGGTGTTCTCGATCTAATCTAATCTATGTTTAAATTACATAGTGTAATGATAAATGTATTCAAATGTGTATTCACAAAGAGTATCCCCTAGAGGTTCATGCTCATTCGTCTCAGACGTACTACGTCTAATGACATACGGCATTTTTCTTTGGTGTAATGCAGCCGATATCAATAGAATCTTTGTCCTGCAGAAACGTGCAGTTAGGGCAATTTACAATCTGAGCCCCAGAGTATCTTTGACAGATAAGTTTAAGGAAATTAACATTCTTACACTAGCCTCACAATACATTTATGAAAATATAATTTATGTTAAAAGGAATAGTAATTTATTTATGAAAAATAGTGACAGACATAACATTAACACGAGGAATAGAAATAAACTAGCTTTTCTTGATAGTCGTCTTCACAAAGTCAGAAAATCATTTAAGTGTACGC